AAGGGGCTTTTGAAAGAGTGTGCCCCAAATTTTTCGACTTCTCTGGTATATCTGGAAACAATATGGTATGAGTGAAGAATCTTGATGTTTCCATGGCAACCATATTTTTGCAGGACTGTTTCTCACATTTTTTAAATTTTGTTGCTTTTTTGAATTTTACCATGTATTGTTGGAAAAAAAAATTGTGTTTAGTTATGTTTTTTCCTTTCTTTATGTAGTGGTTTTCGAAACGTTTTTAACAGTATTATACAGTTCATTACAATCCAAAGTGTCATTTTCAATTATGATGACGTTGCTGTGCTTTAGACCTCAAAGGGAATATTTTTCGACGTGCGATAAATCTTCCAAGTTTCATTGTTATAGCTCTAATGCACTAAAAGTTACGTGGGGAGGGCTTCAAAAGCAACTGTCCCCTTCGGTCCCAGCAGACTTAAAAAAGTCGGGTCTCACTTAAAACTACGCAAAGAAAGGCTAATCCGACTACGCTTTTTCTCAAACAGGTCGAACGATCCTGTGGTACTCAAAGCCAAGGTGGATTTTAAAGGAATCAAGCGCAGTGTGTCTTTCGAAAAAGGCGATTTGGTGTTGAAACTACGATACCTTATCATGGTAGCTTTTAGCGATGTAGGTTTGAATAAAGTGCCTCTAGCGAGTGTCGAGTTACTAAAGTACCATCATGGTGTTCAGGATTATGTCAGTCTCCCTCTTGATAAGAAGCTTGAGGATAATATACAGGTTAAAATGAGGTTTTCCTACAAACAAAACGGCCAGGTACAGTAGACCCTGTCTAAGTTACATGTATACGTAGATAGTTGCAAAATACATGTCATCGAAAAAACAAACAAGCAAACAAACAAAGAAACTGACCAATTTTCCAAATTAAAATCGAAATTATTTCGGGTATTGTGTCCATCTCGTAAACGCGCTCAAAGGGTCGCCCCGGCCGTTGTCATGGTCGTTCAGTTTTTTGGTCGAGACATAAGCTCCGAGTTTTTCATTTTCTGGAAACTCCATTTATCTCGGGGTACAAGAAGGCAGGAAGGGGCGGAAACAGGCATCTCTCTTTAGTTCAATCCAAGTTTGATTTAACATTTCTGGCATAAGGAATACTGAAAAGGTAGATGAACGGGAAGCAAATTAACTTTAACTTTCACCCTTGCCAAGATAAAGCTCTGGCCGATTTATTAGAAGCTTATGAGACAGAGGAGGCCTTGATGCGAAACATTGAATGTATTGTCAGTCAGCTAATGGATATCTCGCATAGGAAAGAAGAGAAATATTGTGTCTTGGACACATGCAGAAAGTCAATCCCCGATCGTACAGAAGAAAGGGGGGAAAGCACCATCGTCGTTTTTCTTCTGAGAAAATAGTGAAATTCAGGATTGCGGATCCAAGACGCTGACCTACTGACGTTATGTGAAGTCAGATGACGTCATGACGAACACAATATATCAAGCCGTGGGCTATCTGTTGGATGTACATGTAAAATGATTTTGAAAAATTTTATTTCAATGCAATGAGAGCCCGGAGAAGGGGTTCCATCCATCCCCTTCTTGTGCCAAGGTAGGCCTGTGTACGTCCAAGGGTTAAACCTACCGAATCTTACCATCGTCGTTGCAAAAGTTATAGTAGTTAGTAAGTTGCTCAAGTAGGGAATCTAACTTCTGCGTTACTATGATCAAACTAAATACCTATGCTTTTACAGAGCAACAGTTCTAACGGGCCAGAACTGTACCATCCAGTGATTAGAAACACTCCCTATCGACTATGGAATCCAGCAAGCACGTCCTTGCTTCAGCGAGACTCTAACAATGTCATCCGTTGTAATGGTAGTTTCAAGGACATGGATTACAATAGTAAGTTTACGATAGCCGAGAATCTCGAACTTTATGGAGTGAAGATAGCATTGGTCTTTGCTTGGTCTTTCGCCTGTAATTACTTCGTGACCTTTTTCCACAATTTGCCAATAGCTCTATTTGATATTCTTCTGAAAGAAATATCCGCGAGATATCCGTGCGATCTGCTTTCAGATCAAAGACACGGGATAGGTTTAGCTCGTGCTTACACTGTAAAACTCGGGTCAGTTTTTATACGTCATTTCTATAATCTAACGGGTGCTTATCACGCGAAAATGCAACTCATATGGTTAACATGCCTGTTGGCAATAGGGGAATCTTTAGCTTGTTTACAATATTTGACTCATTAGCATAAGCAATTCAGTTTCTGATGGAGCTACAAATAAATCAGTTCTGAATATTGAAAGGTCATGGTATGATTAACTCTACCAATGAATATGAGCCTGATTTATTGAACATTTTTTGTGCAACACGGGTTTAAAAACTCAAAATTTTACAAAGAATGTATGAGCTCATTAGCGCTTTTGCCACCCAGAAATTTTGCAGTATTTGAAAGACAATATCTCCTTGAATATTACACCCAAAGAGCTAAAAATTTCACCACGTATTACGTTTTGCTAGCTCTTTAGCTGCCTGGAGTTAATTCATATCGAACATGTTTCCTTCTGTACTCAAAGCCGTATGCAAATGAGAAAAAATGCAGACAATGACGTCAGCATGAATCCCCCTATAAGACTAAATAATCTGAAAAATGTACGAGTAGGGTTTCAAATATTTGTGTCTTTGTTTAATGTGATGTTATGATCATTATATGTAATGTTATGATTACACTGGGAGTAACAGTATTTCCTTGATTTCTTTGTAGCCGTTGCCAAAACAACAAAAAAAGGCTCAACCACAACAGGATTTGGCCTTCTCTTTAGAGATACAGAGACGTCAAAGACTTACATTTTGAATGCCACGAATGGAGGCAAGAGCCTATTAGCCGTGGTTAGTATTTAGCCATGATCATTAGAGGGACTACTTTTCAGTAAGCTTGGTTACCATTTATCGATGTTAAGCCTGCCACAAAGAAAAAAAAAAGGACAATGCGCTAGAGCTGATAACAATTGCAAACAAACATCGCGAGTACATTTAGCTGTATAGTGTTGGTGGTGTTCCCGTAAGGAGGTGGGGGGGNGGGGTACTCAGAAAAAAAAATTGGGTGAGGGTGAGCGGCCCCCTTCCCAAAACCCATACCCTCATCGTCGTCGGCGTTGGCTCGTGTCCGAGCATCAGTTTCTTCCTTTACCCCATTTAAGACGAAAATCTGCTATTTTTCTTACCCAATTTATGACTTGATGAAAAATTCGATACCCTATTTAAGACCTGCCTTATAATTAGTTCCATAGTTCAGAACGATGTTAAAGGTATTATGAAGGGCTTTTGTTGATGATCTTCTCGCTAATGATGAAAAAGTAGCTTCTTCTAAAACAGACATACCCTATCCAAGACTAGTGTGCAAAAACCGTACCCTATTTTGCAAAATCGACACTGACCAAAACGGTAAAAACAAAACAAAAAACAAACCAAAAAAAAAAAAAAAAAAAAANCCCCCCCCCCCATGATTAGATGTTTCCCGTGCCACCTCCTGTAACTATTTTAGCGCTTAAAATTTGGTTTATGCAGGGATATCAAAGAAACGTACTGGTGTTGGATGAAATACTGTTAGACTAAGCACCGGAGAAACGCGCCGGTTTGATGGGCCACTAGGCGCTAAAACTGACTTTTATTCAAGCTAATTAAAATTGGCCCACTCTCAAAATGTTTTTCGTCAACTTTTGTCAGCTAATGTTAAATTTTTTCTCATGTTTACCTTTAAGGAACACAAGGGAACAATAGAGAAGTCAATGAAATTCAAGCCGTCCTATTACTGGAGCTTTACTGTTTTTAAAAACAGTCAGTACAAAACTTTGTACCTGGGCTGCGGTAGCGACGGAGAACTCTTATTGCCAATGAACAGCAAAAAATATCCGGATCCCAGAACTTTATTCATTACCAACAAATATGTCCCAGTCGGCCCGTCGATTTAGCTATGTCAGAGTTCAGAGACAGCAAAGAGATGTTCAATGATTTGCCCAAAGACACCAAATTAATACATAAGGGATTGCTTTTATTTTCGATTGAACTCCTGTTGTAACGGTCTTGTTTTCGTGCATGACAAACTGATGGAAAAAATCTTGTGTCTGTAATAACAAATTAAATGTAGCGGTAGTAATTTAAGTTACCCATTTTTAACACACAACTAAGTAAGTTCAGACGGGCAAGCTAAAATCAACCAATCCGATTGCTCAATTGCTTGTCTAACATTTTTAATTATTGAACCGTTTCTCGTAATGCTAAATGAAAACATTGGCAGCCATATCAACAGAGTTATCCACAGATTGTTGCGATTACTCTTCTGTTACAATGGCTTTGCAATCACACCAATATCATTAACTACATTTCTGATTAGGCTTTGAGTGACGTCAGACCGACAGCCCAATTTTAACAAATGGTAAACGCCATAGCGTGTACTATTGAGTTATGGATGCACGTGGGAGGTTGCTAAGCACGAAAGAAGCGTAAGAGTCGCACGAGGC